ACTATTGATATGCAGTTTGTTTATCATAATATTATGGTCATGTCAGGGTAGGCATCAATATAGTGTAGCTAAGAGCCTAGGGCTTACGTACAAGGAAAACTAAGTTAAGTCATAACATGTCTTGATTATTATATACTCTCTCTACAAGGTCTGTCGAATTGACCGACCTCGTAGCAATTTTGTACTCGTGTATTTTACAGTGTAACATTAAATTTTAATATTGAAAGCTATGCAGGGATGATCTATGTATAGCTGTACCATCGCTATATTCTTGTTTGCTATCTTTATGGTAGTGCCATCCGTACATCATTTTATATTTAAAAACGTTTATTATTGCGTGTAAAGATATCAGTAGTGAAACACAATTTGGAATATTTATATATTTACAAAGTTATGTAGGCTCTATAATGATATGTTTGTATAATTACAAAGTTATGTAGGCTCTATAATGATATATTTGTATAATTACAAAGTTATGTAGGCTATATAATAATATATTTTTATATTTACAAAGTTATGTAGGCTCTATAATGATATGTTTGTATAATTACAAAGTTATGTAGGCTCTATAATGATATATTTTATATTTACAAAATTATGTAGGCTCTATAATGATATATATTTATATTTACAAAGTTATGTAGGCTCTATAATGATATATTTTTATATTTACAAAGCTATGTAGGCTCTATAATGATATATTTTTATAATTACAAAGTTATGTAGGCTCTATAATGATATATTTTTATAATTACAAAGTTATGTAGGCTCTATGAATTTTACTTAAGTTTTTGAAATAACTTTTTGCAACTCTTGCTACAAAAAAATTAATATTGTTTAAGAGAAAGTTTAGATAGAAGACTACTTCATTAGATGGGCCAGGTGTGGCTTAGTGGTTAAAATGCCAGATTATGGTTCCGTGGATCCAATGTTTGCGTCTCGTTATCTTAAAAAAAAAGAAAACACCATGCTCCATACTTTGGGGCTGTCAGTTCGTTATAAGGGTGGAGGTCAAAACTTACTAATTGGTTAGAGAAGTGTAGTCCAAGAGTTGGCGGTGGATGTTGTTGACTCAACTGTCTTCCTACTAGTCTCACAGTAACCTTGAGTATCTTTGAGAGAATATCCGAAAACAAACAGACAAACAAAGTCGATTGAAGGCAGCATCTGCCTTAAACACTTTGGATGACGTTTCGAGCTACTAGCGCAAATCTTCATCACGTCCAAGTTTACTGTTTCAGTATCTCAAAAATATTTTCAGATTATTTTATAAATGACAAACTTCCTAGGAGAAGATTAATATCTCAGGCATAAATCCTAATATTGAGTAAGTGTTTATTTTTTAGTGATTAAAAGAAATAAAAAAATGGCCATTGAAATTCGTAAACTAGGTTTTTTTAATGTACAGCTTAAAGATGGAAAACAAACTCGAAACTAACGTGGAACATAACAGCAATATATGATTTAAAAAAAAGCTAATGAAAGCCAGGCACGATAAGTCGTGGACCATGAAAACTGGCGAAGTATAAAACGAAATAAACAGTATATCCATTAATATACCCTTTATCGATTTCTACGTAGATAGTTAAACAAATAACATTCCCAAGAGACTTATCGCTAACTGCTTAGGTCCATCAATCAGGATGACGGTTCATATCTTGGCCCAATAATCTGTGGAATTCTTAGATAATCTTAATAAAACGAAATGACTAGATGATGTGGCGGGAGTTTCAGCTTGGAAATCCGGAAATTATTTACAGAAAATAATAAGGATTTCACACAATCCTGTAAAGTTAGGATTTTCTGGAGAAGCGAAAAATGAAACTTCATAGTATTAAGATATGCGACTAATTACCAAGCAGATACTTTAGTCACCTTGTCAGTTTTCCATTCATTGAGAAATGAATTGACTATAACTTTTGTGCTGTGTTAGCCGACTTGTAGAACTTTAAAAGCTATTTACCTGTGATATGTATTATTCTATTTAACACGTAGTTTCAACATCGGAAGGGGAACAAAGTGCTTGATATTCGGAACAGATTTAGCATGAACTGGTATTGATAATTTGTAACCCTGACTGAAATAACTTAAAGCCTAAGGAGTAATTCTAATTCTTTTTTTGCTTGCTTATTTTTTTACCTCATTGCACAAATTAGTATTGATCAATAATATTAACCTAGATAATCCGTACAAAACAAAATGACAAAAATTTTGTATCCAATTAATATCCTCACTACACGAAATCAGTCTAGTAAACCTAAGTCACATTTCCTCAAATCGTTTAACTTAAAGTAACTAGTCAAATGCTGCAGGGAGTAATTAAAAGAAAATTCTTAAAGAAACATTAAACATATGTCTTCAAATAAAGCATTCCCAAACAAGGGATCTTAAGTGATAAACATAACGCTGTGAAACCTTCACATGTTAAATATATAAGTCTTTTATTACGAAAGTTTAAACATATTGAACAAAGTGTTGATAAGTGTTTCCATTTAAAATAGGAGATATAGGAAAAAGTAATTGTGACAGGCTCGTGGCCTAAGAGTTAGCCTATCAGGATTGTAAACGCAAGGATTTTTGTCTTGAGAGCCAATGAGTCAAAAACGCTCCGTACTTTTGGGTCGTGAATATTTTGACAATGAAGGTCAAGTCCTTTCTGTTCGATCAGACAAGAGTAGCCCAAGAGCTGGCGGTGGAAGCTGCTGATCAACTGCCTTCTCTCTAAGAATCAGTTCAAAATTATGGGCGATTATGCCCAGATAGCCCTCGTGTATCTTTGTGTAAATTGGTGAAACAAACACAAAGTAAGACCCGAGTAGCAAGTTTCACTGACCACTAGTTATTATCAAAAACTTCTGATCCAAGCAAGCTACCTACAGAGATCAGAACTAAAACCCAGTTCATAACGTAGCTAATATTATACTCCACTTATAAAACAAAAACACATAATGACAACGCACTAATAGGGTACCTTCGCTCTTACCGATATTTTCGGTCATAATACAAATAATATCTCACGAGGTACGACCAGCTTTAGCAAATTAGGTTAGTCCTGAAACCATATACATTGCAAAATAATCGTCAGTGATATACAATATATATAATAATAATAAGTAAATGAAAGATACTTAAAGTATTATTCAAGAAAAACAGGACAATTATGAATACAGCATTTTAGATTATTTCAATATTATATATATATACATATGTAATGATAATGATCATTTTGTTATTTAGTTGTTACAACGGAAATGAAAACTACACTCTATCTTGTAATTCATATACACGTTCTGGAATGCCACAACTAAATACTTTATCAGATTCGACACTTCTAAGCATTATACAGAAAACAACTTACCATGTTTCATTGTTTTCGAAGACAATTTCTCCTTCAAGTTTTTCGTAGTCCCTGTCCCCTTTGCCGGTTCCATCTAAGGTTTTGAACGGTACGATCACTGTGCCACGGGCACCGCTGTACCGACACACTTTCAAAGTGTATAGTCCAACAGACTCGTTTGTTTCAAACTCCACTTCGGGAAAAGCGAATATGCCACTGTGGTCATCGTCTAAAATCATTACAGTGGCGAGAAATGGTGTAGATAGTTGGATAGGGGGACGCAGCCCCATGTTACCGATAGAACCATTCATTGAGCCAGCCGGGCCATCTGAACCCAAATATCTGGGGTTAGTTAATCGCACATAGAAATGTTCATCTTCTTCAAATACGTCATCATCGATAACAGTGACGTAGATCTGTTTATGTGTTTCTCCAGGGCGAAACACCAACGTCCCCTCCACATATTCGAAGTCAGAACCAGCATTAGCAGTTCCGTCTTCCGTCTGGAAGTCGACACAAATTGTATGACTAACACCCCCTTCTCTGCTGACAGTGATGGCGAACTCCCCGACATTTTCCATCACTGTGTAATAACAAGGGTCGAAACCAATACTGATCACTTCTTCCTTCTCCATAACCTCCTCCTCCCCCTTCTTCATCTCTTGTCTTTCAAGTTTCCGTTTCACGAGGTTTCCTCCTCCAGTCAATTTCCGAGTGGCCTGGATGCGATAGTAGGCCCGACTCTTTGGACCACGGTTAAGGATTTCTTCGCGGGCCATTATCTCCAAATCTTCTATCGGGCAGTCAGGATTTTTGTGACGAAGCTCTCGAAGAATGTCAATATATTTCTTTCGATGCTCTTCAAATTCTCGAAGTTCTTCATTCCCCTCTTCATTAAACATCTTGATATCCCCATCGGGCAAGTGGTTAACTTTCGTACTCCCCATCTCAAGGTCTTCTCCCTCATTCCCCACGATTATCCCGTGCTTAGTGACCCAATACTTTTTCGAAAGATACTTATAAATAAGCAGACGTCGGTCAGCGATATACGCTGTTAGGACAGTAGCAGGGAAGAAAAAAAACGTTGCCACACTTTCCCACACCTCGATGACGCCATAGGACGACCAAGTCAAAATCAAATAGAGCCAGATGTATGCAAAAACACTCCATGTCATGGTAACAATAAACACTCTTAAATGCTTGATTTTTCTACATTCCCCTTCGGGAATGGAATAAACACAAATAGCGATGATTACAAACATGTTAAAGGCTGCACTGCCAACTATAGTTCCAGGGCCAAGTTCTCCTGCTTCAAAATTCTGGCCGTAAACTTCAATGATAGAGAGAAGAATTTCTGGTGCAGAAGAACCCAAAGCCATGAGAGTTAGGTTGGAAACGGTTTCATTCCAAATTCTAACACTAATGGTTTGTTTCTCACCATTCGGTTTTTTAATAACAACTTCCTTTTCTTTGGAGGTAATTACTTCAATTGACGTCATAAAACGATCAGCTATTATCGATACGCCCACAAACATGTAAGCTAGAGCTAAAAAATACACTATTCCTCTTGCTACTATATCCCCAGTACTTAAATTTTCACTGGGTAGCCACAGAGGTAATATTAAACCTTCTTTACATTTAGTTGAGTTATCTACTGACGCCATCGTTGGTGGAACCAAAAAGTACCATAATGAAAGTATACTAATCCAAGTTGGAAAACTTTGGGTGAAAACGTCTTTATTCATTTTGATCGTTCCTAACTAATAAATCAGACCTTATTCACGAAAAACAACAACATTTTTGAATAAGTAATGTATAGTACGTCTAATAAATCGTTCACCTCGTGACATATAATTATAAAATCTTCTTGATTTGTCTTCCATACACTTGTTTCTTCCTTAGGACGTAATGTATATATGTTTTTCCTAAAAAGAGAGAAAACAACAACATTTTTTTTTATTAAACTACTGAATATATTCAAACACTTTATATTCAAAAATAGAGAAGGTAGACAAAGTTTTAAAGCAAATAATGATACGGGTATATCTCTGTAAGTCCCGTGATACAAAAAACCTGTATGTCTCTGTAAGTCCCGCGATACAAAATATCTGCATGTCTCTGTAAGTCCGGTGATACAAAATATCTGCATGTCTATGTAAGTCCTGTGATATAAAACACCTGTATGCCTCTGTAAGTCCTGTGATATAAAAAACCTGTATGCCTCTGTAAGTCCTGTGATATAAAAAACCTGTATGCCTCTGTAAGTCCTGTGATACAAAAAACACCTGTATGCCTCTGTAATTCCCGTGATACAAAATATCTGCATGTCTCTGTAAGTCCCGTGATACAAAATATCTGTATGTCTCTGTAAGTCCTGTGATATAAAACACCTGTATGTCTCTGTAAGTCCTGTGATATAAAACACCTGTATGTCTCTGTAAGTCCCGCGATACAAAATATCTGTGTGTCTCTGTAAGTCCTGTGATACAAAAAACCTGTATGTCTCTGTAAGTCCCGTGATACAAAATATCTGCATGTCTCTGTAAGTCCTGTGATACAAAATATCTGTATGTCCCTGTAAGTCCTGTGATACAAAATATCTGCATGTCTCCCTGTAAGTCCTGTGATACAAAATATCTGCATGTCTCTGTAAGTCCTGTGATACAAAATATCTGCATGTCTCTGTAAGTCCCGCGATACAAAATATCTGTGTGTCTCTGTAAGTCCTGGGATACAAAACACCTGTATGTCCCTGTAAGTCCCGTGATACAAAATATCTGTATGTCTCTGTAAGTCCTGTGATATAAAACACCTGTATGTCCCTGTAAGTCCTGTGATATAAAACACCTGTATGTCTCTGTAAGTCCTGTGATATAAAACACCTTTATGTCTCTGTAAGTCCCGCGATACAAAATATCTGTATGTCCCTGTAAGTCCTGTGATATAAAACACCTGTATGTCTCTGTAAGTCCTGTGATATAAAACACCTTTATGCCTCTGTAAGTCCTGTGATGTAAAACACCTGCATGTCCTCTGATACGTAAATTATATGCAACATAATTCATATCTATAATTAATACCTACCAAGGTAAACACTGAAACTATATTCTACAGTACAAACCAATCTGCAGTAAATTTGTTATAAGAATAATAATATTCTTGATACGTAAGAAGAACTAAAGCAGTCATTAATCATAACAGCTCAAGATTTTACCATAATGCTCTTTGTTGTATTTCACACATTTTGAGCCAGTTTGTATCGGTGATTTAATAAGAGGTCCATTGATGATGATAAACGTTGACAAAAAATTGCGATTATAATGTAAGTTTATCACACAGTTAATGGCGATGAAATAATAACGATGAATATAGTTCAAACTATATTTCAATGATTGTTATAAGGTGTTGATTTCTCTACGGTTCAAACTGTATTTGAATGATTGTTATAAGGTGTTGATTTCTCTACGGATCAAACTGTATTTGAATGATTGTTATAAGGTGTTGATTTCTCTACGGTTCAAACTATATTTGAATGATTGTTATAAGATGTTGATTTCTCTACGGTTCAGACTATATTTGAATGATTGTTATAAGGTGTTGATTTCTCTACGGTTCAAACTATATTTGAATGATTGTTATAAGATGATGATTTCTCACTTTCATTTCTTTACCATGAACATCTTTCAGGGGATCTCTCTCTTACAGGCTCTTTAATTCTATAAATGGAACCAATTATTTGTCGTGTAATTACCTGTCTAAGATAAAATAACTTGTTTTAGCAATATCTTACTTGAATTTCCAAACATCCTATTATATGTGATGCCACCTTTGTATGTTGAAAACATTATGTGATTTCTAAACCGTAACTGTTGTAATTTACAATAAGTAATTCTATTGAAGGGGAACATTACGGTATACATCCATTTGAAAATGTTTCTAACACCGTAAAGCAAGAAGTGAAATTTATTGTTTTCATATGCTATCCTCAAACTAAATGAAAATTCAATTAAATTCATGTTTATAATTAGTTCAAAAACTCTTATATAAATGCACAACCATTTATTAAAGAACATATTAACTAACTGATAACTAAAATTAGAGACATTGATCGTGTAATATTCGTGGTTTCTGAATACAAAATTATTAAAGAACATATTAACTAACTGATAACTAAAATTAGAGACATTGATCATGTAATATTCGTGGTTTCTGAATACAAAATTATTAAAGAACATATTAACTAACTGATAACTAAAATTAGAGACATTGATCGTGTAATATTCGTGGTTTCTGAATACAAAATTATTAAAGAACATATTAACTAACTGATAACTAAAATTAGAGACATTGATCGTGTAATATTCGTGGTTTCTGAATACAAAATAACAGTGAAATAGTTTTACATGATCTAGTGCATATTTCTGATTTTATCACTCAATAGTATGAAAACTACTTTCAACTGTAACGAATTTGTTATTATATATTTATTTTATATCGACGTTTGTTTAGATTAAATTTATATTTAGAAACATACATAGCTTATACTGTTAAATATGTATTGCAAAACTCCCGCCTATTCTCCAAAGTTGTAGGAGATTCTCAAGAGTAAGAATCAACAATATATATATATGCAAGTAAACGCTTAAATGTAGCGTCAGTATTGTTACGTAAAACTGAAATTTCGAGAAAGCCTCCACACGGCTATAAATATAACCAACGCAACGCGCCAAAAGAGAGTATCTATTATTAGTTCGCTATAGTCAGTGTGCAATAAACTTCGGAAGTTGTAACTGTGATTGTTATAACGCTTGACAATCGGAAAAC